TTTTGATTTGAGAGAAGACTATTGTCATTCAAATGAATGTGGCCTAATAGCCAACTAAATCGATTCACTGGCATGAATTGACTAATGTAACTATCATGGCAGTCAGGACTTGAGCACTAATAATCTCTACAGCTAGCTAACTGTTTTATTCCCATTAGAAGATTTAATCTTAAAAATGTTTTGATTTCTGTACTACCTGTACACTTATGTAGTACATTGTTCGTATCATCATGCTTGTAAGAGTTAAGGGGTTACATGGGTTTCAAAAAAAACGCATAACTTTTCTATTTTTTTTTTTCATATACATGAATTATTTAAATCAAAATTATAAGCATATAAAGTAGCAGTATTTGAAGGAAATTTTATAGTATTTTTGGTCAAAACTTTGGAAAATTCAGCGGATTGAACCTAGTTTTTGGAAGTTAGTTTTGGAGAAATCGTGTCCACCAACTTCAAGAATAATAACGAGACAGGCAGCTTTATTTGACTGCGTTATACTCGGTCAATTCGTTTGGTCATTTTCCAAAAGCGTCTTACAATTCCACAAGACGTCTTAGAATTTCACTCCGATTAATTTAAAACGTTTGGAGAATATTATAGACATATTTTTTAGAAATTTTCAAACCCATGTAACTCCTTAAAATTATTTTATTGAACCTTTGCACACTTGCAGTATCTAGTCTTCTGCCAGAAGTATAATCTTCTGACAAGAGTGTTTGGTCTCCTACCAGCAGTATCTATAGCAATTCATATTAATATGTATGGTGTCGAAATGGTTTTTGTGTTTCGCTTTCAAGCTTATTTTCCACCATTGTTACATCATTTGCTATTTCATGTTCGGTCATAATGCAATACCAGTAACCCTGGGTCTATATCCAGCCATTGTAATATATCTTCTTCTCCAATATTGTTTTGTGATCCATCTAAATCAATATCTGTATCTTGATCACGATATAAATTTGCTCACCTTCTTTGCATGCAGCAGTGAAATTAAAAATCTGGTTCGTTGTCGATTAATAACATAACTTTAAATAGGATTTGTTTTAATTGGTAATACTTAACGTTTAACTTCAGGTATGAAGTGATGACCAAACCAGTCTTCAAAAAGAGAAGCTGTCATCCAAGCTTTAGCATTCCACTTCCTAACCACGGGCAACCCACTTTTAGATTTATTTTTTAAAGCTCTTGGATTTTGTAAGCGATAAATTAAAAGAGGTTTTAATTTATAGTCACCAGCTGCATTCGTGCCAACCATCACTGTCAATCGATCTTTAGCGGCTTTAAAACCTAGAAACGTTTCCTCTTCACGCCCGATAAAAGTTTTTTTTTTAGACATTTTTTTCCAGAATAAACCAGTTTCAACCACGTTGAATATGGCCACCTTCTTCTATCATTACCTTGAGTATCTCTAGATCAAGAGACGCAGAAACAGCGCTTGTTGCGTCTCCATTTTCTGCGATGCTATGTCAATTACAACGACTTTTGCAACGGCAAAACCAACCGTTACTAGCTTTAAATATTGCATTTTTGGCTGCCTGTCCAGCTTCTTCTGTTGATTGTTCTGACTGATGATTCCGATAGATAAAATTTCTTTGCCGATTGACAAATTTTAATTTTTGTATCAAACTCTTTGATAATATTAAGTTTACATTCCAGAGATAATAATTTTCTTTTTTTATTTCATGACATAGTTACAGTCGCGCCTTAAAATACGTATTAATACGTATTGCCTTACAAAAATACTCGTGATACGTATCGTATTATCAAGTATTTTCGATCGTATTGTTGTATAATATTTATATGATGTTGTATCCGAACTCCGTTCTAACGAGGTCCATTATATCTAGGTTTTACTGTATTTGGTCTTCTACCAGCAGTATCTAGTCTTCTGGCAGGAATATTTGGTCTCCTACCTGCTCTATCCAGCAATATTTAGTCCTCTGCCAGCAATGTCAAGTATCTGGCAGGAGTATTTGCTCTTCTACCAGTAGTTTCTTTTCTTCTGACAGGAATATGTCGCCTGCTACCTGCAGTATCTAGTCCTTTAGCCGCAGTATCTAGTCTTCTGCCAACTACTGTTCTTGCAGCAGTATAGTTTTCTGTCAGTATCTACTCCTCTTGAAAAGACTCAAATCTATCGGTAAAAAAAACTTGAAGTTCATTTCTAAGTTCAAATACAAAAGTTTTTTATATTTGTAACAGTACTATTTTTCGCATTCTATTCAAGTTTCGTTAATATAGAGGTGATCTCGATTGATATTTTCTTTGCTGATTATCTGTTTTATTTTTCAGACATAGCAATGTTGAAGAGTTGTCATATTACATTTAATTCCAGCTTTTTTCGTTCCAGCTCCTGGTTTCTAATCCTCCAGATCTCCAATTTTGTATGGAATATGTTTTTAAGGATAATCAAGAACATTTTTTGCCGTAAATACTTTGTCCTATCTCTTTCCAGTCTTGAGCTGTCATCAATTTTTATGTCAAAAACGTCATGTTAACAAATATTCATTTTTTGGACGAATAAAAAGCGTATTTTAACCTTATTTTTGAGGGTATTTCATGTCGACTGTCCGTTCGGAAACCAATAACAACGAGAACATGATGGGAATTACAAGTTACGAGTTTTTATCCTTTTTTTAAACTTTCAGAATTGGGATTATATCAAAATTTATAAAGATTTAAAAAAATCGCTGTGATCTTATTTTTGGGAGTTAAAAAAACGACTTATATCTTGAATTAAAGTTGAAACATTGTATTTTGTGAATATGATATAGAATAAATAGGTTTGATGATAAAAATTTCGAGAAAAACATTTTTGAATCTAAACTTGCAAAATGGAGGTTGTGTCAAAAATTATAAAAATTTAAAAAATAGCTGTGATCTTATTTTTGGAAGTTAAAAAACGACTTATATCTTGAATTAAAGCTGAAACATCGTATTTTGTGAATATGATATAGAATAAATAGGTTTGATGATAAAAATTTCGAGAAAAACATTTTTGAATCTAAACTTGCAAAATGGAGGTTGTGTCAAAAATTTAAAAAATCGATGTGATCTTATTTTTGGGAGTTAAAAAACGACTTATATCTTGAATTAAAGCTGAAACAACGTATTTTGTGAATATGACATAGAATAAATAGGTTTGATGATAAACATTTCGAGAAAAACATTTTTGAATCTAAACTTGCAAAATTGAGGTTGTGTCAAAAATTTAAAACATCGCTGGTATTGTATTTTTGGGAGTTAAACAACAACTTATGCCTTGAATTAAAGCTGCAACATTATATTTTGTAGATATGATATAGAATAAATAAGTTTGATGATAAAAATTTCGAGAAAAACATTTTTGAAACTAAACTTGCAAAATTGAGGTTTTGTCAAAAATTATAAAAATTTAAAAAATCGCTGTGTACTTATTTTTGGGGAGTTAAAAAACGACTTATATATTGAATTAAAGCTGAAACATCGTATTTTGTGAATATGATATAGAATAAATAGGTTTGATGATAAAAATTTCGAGAAAAACATTTTTGAATCTAAACTTGCAAAATTGAGGTTGTGTTAAAAATTATAAAGAATTAAAAAAATCGCAGTAATCTTATTTTTGGGAGTTAAAAAACGACTTATATCTTGAATTAAAGCTGAAACATCGTATTTTGTGAATATGATATAGAATGAATAGGTTTGATGATAAAAATTTCGAGAAAAACATTTTTGAATCTAAACTTGCAAAATTGAGGTTTTGTCAAAAATTATAAAAATTAAAAAAATCGGTGATATCTTATTTTTGGGAGTTAAAAAACGACTTATATCTTGAATTAAAGCTGAAACATCGTATTTTGTGAATATGATATAGAATAAATAGGTTTGATGATAAAAATTTCGAGAAAAACATTTTTGAATCTAAACTTGCAAAATGGAGGTTGTGTCAAAAATTTAAAAAATCGGTGTGATCTTATTTTTGGGAGTTAAAAAACGACTTATATCTTGAATTAAAGCTGAAACATCGTATTTTGTGAATATGATATAGAATAAATAGGTTTGATGATAAAAATTTCGAGAAAAATATTTTTGAATCTAAACTTGCAAAATTGAGGTTGTGTCAAAAATTATAAAGAATTAAAAAAATTTCGTTGTGATCTTATTAACCAGTTTGAACTTGTTTCTGAAGAAGGCATTCGAAACGTCAAATATTTTTTCAAAAGACGCGCGACTTAACCCAAAAGTTTCTACTTCTTGGTCTAGTGTTAGTTCTAGTGATAGTTCTAGTTTTAGTTTTATCGTGTATATTTTGATTTCTCTGTAGCTCATCAAGATAAGTATTGGGAATCTTACAGGTTGGGCAAAAAGAACGCGATATATAGCTTTCGGAAAACTTGGACAGAAGCAGCTGGGTTTTACAAAGTATTGTTGCTTTTTATGTGAATGGAACAGCAGAGATCGAAACTATCAATTACTGCACACTGTCTTCTACCAGCAGTATTTAGTCTTCTGGAAAGAGTGTTTGGCCTTCTGCTAGCAGTGTCTAGTCTTCTGGCAGGAATATTTCGCCTGCTACCAGCAATATCTACTCTCCTGGTAACAATATAGTTTTCTGTCAGTTCTTTCATTCTTCTAGAAAGAGCTCAAATTTATCGGTAAGACAAGAGAGGTGATTCCCATTGATATTTTCTTCGCTGATTATCATCCGTTTTGTTTTTCAGTCATGGCAATATTGAAAAGTTGTCATATCACATTTCTTCCAGTTTTTTTCGATCGCGGTCCTCAAATTCTTCAATATTTTATGGAATATGTTATTATTGTTATTAAGGTTAATAAAGAACATTTTTTGTCTTAATCACCTTGTCCCATCTCTTTTCATTCTTGAGTTGTCATCAATTTTTATGTCAGAAACAAGAAATATTCATATTTATACAAAGAAATATTGAAATATGTTTTTAAGATTAATAAAGATCATTTTTGCGTAACAATCTTAATTAATTCAACAACTATTTTTTTAGGTGTTGCCCGAGTCGTTTGGAATCGCCCCCGAATCGGTCACAAAGGCCCCGTACGTCGCTCCACCCCCATCGACGAAATCCCCTTTTTAGCCGTCGCGCGAAGTCTCGGCGACCTCTGGTCCTACAACTCCGAATTGGACGCATTCGTCGTCTCCCCCGACCCCGATTGCTCCGTTATTCCCATCGATACAAACTGCTTCCGCTGCTTAATTTTCGGCACCGACGGCCTCTTCAACATGCTCAGCCCCCAGCGAGCGGTCTCGATCGTCCAACAAGCGGAGCGCCACAACGAAGAATCAACATTAAGCGGCCAAGCGAAAGTATCTTGGGTAAACCCCAGCAAATGTCTCGTCGAAAAAGCTTTGGACATGTGGAGTAACACGAAAATTCGCGCTGATAACACATCGGTCGTTACGCTTATGTTGGATCCACCAGGACCGCCAAGAGCGGAGGTTTTGAGAAATCGACGCAAAGCCGTTCCGGATAATGGGTTAAGAATTGTTACGAGGTATCCGAGTATGGCGGGAGGGAATGGAGATGGTAGTGAGAAGAATGATGTTGAAAATGGGGGTGGTGATAAAAATGAGGTTAATTCCGGGGAAATTTCGCCTCAGGGGAGGATTCAACATAAAATTAGGACGTCGGAGAGGCAAGAATTAATTAATTGCGAGGGTGAGAAGAAAAACTCGGAGTATTTCGTTTCAAATCTTGAGAGGAGGAGGTTAGAAACGCTAGTTCCTTATGGATTTTTTTTACGAACCGTTCCCGAGATGATTCCGACATCATCTCCTGATGTACTTGATTAATTAATTTTTTTTTAGTATTAAATTAATTTTGATTGATTTTAGGTGATTGGTGATGTAATAAACGAAGAAATCGAAGAGAACTCGTCGGAAAACATCCAAATTAACGAAGTTTCCTCATCATCCAACGAAATATCGTCGGAGAGCGAAAAAAATCTGCGCCCAAAAGCGAAATTGCGCTCGCAGCCCTTTCGTCGCAATCGGAAACGGAAACGCGACGAGGAAATCAACGTAAGAAACTCCCCCTCATTATTAGAAGACGTAAACAATAAATCAACCGTAGATTTTCGTGAAATAAAGCGGCCCCATCGAGAAATAACCCAAGAAGTCACCCCAAAACGAAATCTTCGCGAACGAAAAATGACCGTTTTAGAGAGCGTCCAACGTAAAAGCGAGGCGATTATTAATATGATGGATAAAAGTAGGAAAAAAGTCGATTCGGAATCGATTTTGGTCGACGTAAACGTTTTGGTTAAAAAATATCAAGGAATTAATAAGAAGACGGTTAATAATAAAGCGGTTAAAGAGGTAAAGGAAAAAGTGAATAAAATAAAAATAAAAAAGTCGATTAAAAAAACGATTATCAATAAAAAGGGGAAAATGAAAAAAACCGAATTGGTGACTCGAATGAACAAAGAAAATCGGCGAAAAATAATCAAAAAAGATATCAATAAGAAAGGGAAAAAAACCACATCGAGTAATAATAATCGGACGTTGAGGGTGGAACATTTGAGGAGATTACGAAACCACGTGATGTTAAGGAGTCAAAGAAAAAGCTAATATAGTGCCTCAGGTAGATTGTACGTTTTTTATTATGGGTTGAAAATTGTAAGTCTTATTTTTGTTTTAAAACTTAATAATAATGTTTTTTTTAAGATTACTTTTAGCGAGTTAATTCGTTAATTTAAACCTATTTAAAAGTAAAAAAATGAGGTTAAATTAAATTTTAATTTGGTGTTTATTACAAAGTTGTAAGTAGTATTTGAGGGGGTAAAAATAAAAATAACTCCCCTTGTACATAAAATAAAGTAAAATAATATTAATCTAGATGGGATTTTAAAGAGGCGAAACAAACAAATATTATTATATCAAAGTTTTACAAATTGGAATGCGGTGCCTTCGTTTGTTACCATATTTTATTAATATAAATATATATATTATTATATTTGTGTCTGTCTTTCTCTTTCTCTCATTCTTGAAATTTTGGGAAAATTTTATTCTTGAAGGGGAAATGAGACTTAACGGATTCAATTTAGTGTATTATGTTTATTTTCTTAATAAAAACTAATAATAAAGGTAAATATAACAAGAATACTTTTCAATTTTTATTTTGCCATATTTCAATTATTAAATTTGTAACGGTCGTTGAGGGGCTAACCAAAAACTCACGTCACAGTTTCTTAATTGTAATCGTATTATACGATTACAGACAAAACTTAAGGAAAATGTAGCATTGCTACAAACATTCGCAATTCACCTTCCAAAAATTACAAAAGTTTTAGTAGCCATGTTTTCATTTTTTTTGTTACCGGGAGAAATTTATAAAAAAAAGAACGTTGTTATTTTTAGTTTTCTATCACTCTTGTCTGATTGTAACAATAGAAAAATTTATATACAGGGTGTCACACAAAAAACGCCCCAAGCTGTAACTCTGTCATTTATATTCCGAATTTCATGACCGAGACATCATCTGAAATGGTTTGATAAATACTATGGTTCGTGCTACAAATAAATTTTTTTCAAGGCCATCTTCAATTTTAAGCGATTATTGACGTTTGTTTTTCAAATTGCTCCATACATTTTTTTTCACGTCATTAGATAGAGATTGTTTTTCTGCATCCATTGATTGGATTTTAGTAGAAAAAAGACACCTGTATATACAGGTTGTCGCACAAGAACGCCGTAAGCTGTAACTCTGTCATTTAACTTCCGATTTTTATAAACGAGATATCAAATGAAATGGCTTGATGAATGCTATGAGTCATGCTACAAATAAACTTTTTCCAACGCCATCTTCGATTTCAAACGATTATCAACTTTTGATTTTCAAATTGCTCGGTATGTTTTTCTTCACGTTATGGGATAGAGATGTTTTTTTGAGCCCATCGATCTACAATACATTAACATTAATTGTAATTTTAGCAGAGAAAAACAATTAAAACATTTATTATTTATTAAATATATTTATTAAAACATTGTCTGTAATACTGCAGTGTGCCATGGAAAAAAATAACACGCAAAACTGTTTAATTTTGGGTTTTATTTAGGAACCAAGAACAACATGTTCTTAACGATAACGTATTTATTCTTGACCGTTACAACTTGTTACAACTTGTCTACATCATTCCGCTAATTCACCACTAGATGGCGTTACAAATATACTATTTATTATGACATCCCCCTTTATTTAAAATAAAATCTTTAAACTTTTCAGGCGTTTTCTTAACTCTTGTCGGCCGGGTTCTTGTAGGTTCTTCTTCGTTTCTTGGTAAATCTAGTTTTATTTTTCCTTCCTTCT